TCGGAGAAGTCAACAAAATTGATCGTGGCTAGTGGCGAGGACTGTGCCTCCATTCTCCTTCCCTTCTTCCAGTCTTTGTAATTCGTTTTGCAACCTGGATGAGTAGAGCCGATTCAGGTTTTACCAGTTGCCGGAGGAAGATGTCTTCCAGTCCATCAGTTGTGACCTCTAGAGGTCATGTGGGATGTCCACGCTAGGACGGCAGCACAGTTAATCAGTTAGCTGCATGTAGACGATCGATTGCAACCGGATGATTCTTCTTGGCAAGGCCTACCTTTTTACCAAATTTGCCGGCAAATGTGGTCAACCGATTGAGCGCAAACCAGAGTGGCCCGAAATAAAGAGTTCCACGTGTGCTCGTAATCATAAACACAGTGAATGTTGGTACAATACCGGTGTGGTGCACCTGGCAGTACTGGTCTACTGCCCTAATTAGGCGATATTTGCGCACAAATGCCAAAAAGAACACAATCAGGAATGCGAGTATATCGGTTACAGCCTGCAAAAAAAAAAAAATCAGAAGTATTTGGATGGAGTATTAGATTCAAGCAATAATAAGCTGGAGCGCTTCAGATAGTTCTCGATCTTTAAAAAAACTTACAGAAAGTCAACTTTTGGCACAACACTGTCCAGATTGCAGTTTGACAGCTTGTCGCGGAAAACCCATGGAAAGCCAACAAAAGAAAGCCTCCACTAAAAAGCGCATGCTGTTGGGAAAGGGCAAACAAGGATGGGAAGGGATTTCCCCGGAGTATAAAGGCCGATAGCACAGGCATTTAACACTTCGTGTCCAGATGTGAAGACGAGTGATTCGATTTCTTTCCAGTCTATAACTCATTTGCAAACGAGAGCTCCATTCACCAATTCACTGACATGAATTAAAATCACTCTGATGATACAGTTCAAAGTGCTTTTCCATTTCTTTGTGGAATCCGTTTTAAAAACTGAATCATAAATTTTTTGGTAATTTTTTCAAAGTTCAACAGCTCGTTATTTTCGCCTTTATTAATGTCATATTTTCCCAAAATATAAATAATTTTCCGGTAAAATAATAAACAATAAACTAGAATATCAATAGTTATTTTATTAACATAAAATATAGGTAATATGGAATTATTTAGAATTTGGTGGAACTGTTAGAAATTATCTTCCACAAAATAGTGAACATTCCGTTATAATATCAGTAGCCACCTTCTTAAAATGCAAGGCATGCAGAATTGAAAGAACATGATAAATGCCAGACCTAAGTGTAGTTTCCTGCATGGAATAAAGTGGATGTGAAAAAAGAAAAATGCAAAATTCACCAGCTGCTTCAACGGCAGGAGGAATGCAATGATGAAGCACTACCAGCTGAAGTATCAAAATAAGTAAAAACAAACAATGCCAGTTGTTTTTAGACAGGTGCAAATATTTTAAATCCTACAAAATTAGTGAAAGTTATATTTCAAATTTTACAAAATAAATTCATAATTAATAAAAATTTTAAACTCTTCAACAAATTAAATTCGAAAATAAAATATCTTTTTGTATTTCTTCCTGCAAATCACCAAAAGTATTTTACTCCAAAATTCAGTACTCCCCGTCTAAGTTCTTAAAAATCATGTTTAGCGGCTGATTGTGTCAAGTTACAAAAGTTAGAACACAATGCAGAGTTTATATTTTGGAAACGCATACTTACCTCAACAAGGAATATTTTAAAGAAGAAATTTCGAAACAGTGGATTACGTCGACGTTCTGTTGTGACAATCCAGATAACTCGAAAATAAAGTATCATCGACAGGGAACCAAACAGATAAAGCAGAGCCCGGTATACAAAAACGTATGTGGACATGCCATTTTCCGCCACCATTTCGCGCACTACCAGCTTTCAGTTCATTGTTTTTTCGAAAAAAATGCCGCCTGATTCTGATGTGATGTTAGACTGAATATTGATGCAATATTCTGACAAAAATTCGACCACTTCTGCAACTATACTATTTGAAATCAGTAGGGCCAAAAAGCTTCATTATTACAGTAGTCATCATTGAAAAGGTAATCTTGGCACAAAAGTCGCGCGCCTGTGGCTAGAGAACCGATGGATTCGGATTCTGAAACTGCACTGTATAGCACTTAAGAGTTCCAGCCATCTTGCATGCCACTCGTTTTTCTGTGCAAACTGTTTTAAAATATAAAACGAAAACCAAAATGGAAAAATACTCCTGAACATAGGTCCATTTGTCATCTGTTTTGTTCCAAAAGAAAGAATCTTAGGAATGAAGACGGCCAATCCCGTTCCCCGTACTCCCAATGCCCTACGAACATATGTGTGGTATGCGAATGTCCTGTCTTATGACTCGAATCCCCCTCTGATACAAAAGTGATTATTCGGTACTGTTAGGGCTGTTGTTTGCTCTCGGAGCATGCTGCTTTCAGTTGGCTCTTATGCCTGCCCATGTTTCGTCTGCTTACTTTTCTTAAAGAACTGTAAAGCTCTTTCAAGTAGTAGTACGTCCGGCGTTGGGGTCTTTACAGCCTTTTTCACCTACCTTCTCCTTTCTTTTTCTCACTTACCGCTGCACAGCTATAAGGCGGGATGGTGGCAGAACTGATGAGCCCCGCTCCTCCCACACCTTAATGTTCGGCTTATATGAATGTAACTTAGGGGTGAAACATGGACAAATTATTTTTGAAATTTACCATATTGCCATGTTCATTTTCTTGCCTAACTCCTTCCGTCCTTCTTTTTCCCCTTCTAATTCTATTTCTTATACAGCTTAGGCGCGAAACACCAACAAAGCGTTTTTGGAACTAATCATACTATCAAATTCCCAGCTCACGCTGTCTCTTTTAATGCTCCTCTTCGCCCTAAATCCTCTTCTGCTTTTGTTTTAAAAACATGTAGCATAAAGATGCATTAATTCAAAAAAAAAAACAAAATTAAGCAAAAATAAATTTCTACATTGCCACCCTGTAGATTTTTTTTATGCGGGTAAATTTGACGACAGCGTACTAAAAATGCGAATTCAAATATCTTAAAGGGAAAAAGATGGGAGAAATAGCAAGCTGTTAGAAACCCCAAATGTATATTCTGAAATAAGAAATTTTTGCCTAATGTGACAGCTTCTTATTAGATATGCAGCATCAGATGAGCCAAAGAGATGTGTTCCGTTCGTGCTGTTTGATAGCCGTAAATAAGCTTTTCTTTACTGCCCAACGAAAAGGCAGCTAAATGACTGTTTTTTTTTTGAGTGTAATAAGACGGAATAAGGCGGAAGAAAGGATCGAATCAAGCCATGCGAAGAAAAATTCGGAAAAATTTGCTAGGACCGCATTCTTGCATGCTTGAAAATGTGTGTTTGTTTTTGAGCAAGTTTAAGCGTATAAGCACTGTAACGTAATGCATTTTGCATACACGCACACTGTTAGTCCAAAAAACGGGACGATTCAAATCCATGCTTGATTGTGAGCGAATAAATCAATACACTTAACTTTGGATATCGTAGTGACCATAATTGGAGTAAAGCGCAGTGAACAAGCCAAGTTGTTTTTTTTATACGTAATTTATAAAATCATAGAATGTAGCTTTACATTTGCAAAAGTCAGAATGAAATCTTGTCAAGAGGGAAGAAATGAAGGATGCGAGGAAAAGGGTATACGAGAAAGAATAGAGTAAATTAATTGGCGAATACTGGACCTGGGAAAAACAATGAACCAAGGCTGTAATGCACCAAGCTTGCCAGTAAGTTGCAATCGTGAGTTTTTATGCTAAACTTGCAGTTCGCTAGCAGCAGGAATAGTTCCTGCACTCTGTTAAACCTCTCCCTGAATGCAATGGCAAAGTGCATCGGTTGGGATGACAGTGTTGCATTATGGGGCCGTATGAACTTCCTGCTTGTATAATTATCAATTTTTGCATGAAGCCCAGTCGTTCTTCCGACGAATATTCGTTTATTGAAAAAAAATAATGCAAGTTCGAAGGAACTCGAAAGAATATTATGAAATCTGCAAAATGCACTCGCTGTTGAATTTGAGATAAAATTGAATATTTGTCATGACGGTGTGCAGGAAATTTCACTCCCAAACCGAGTTAAGACAGAGCGCAAATTTAGAATGTAATGTCCTTGCAAGGTTTCAGCTGTGCATCTTATCCGGTAGGGAAATGGGCCTTCGCTACAAATACAGTTGAAGCGCCCTAAGTCGCGGCGCAAGTGCAAATCGAAACTCCGTTTAGTTACGATTTTTCACATGATCATCAAATATTCTGAAAAAATTTCAGCTACTGTTCTCTCGCTAGCTTTCAATTTAGCACAGCTCTAACTGTGAACTTTGACGACACCGCACGCGCCCTATAAGCATATGTGATAGCTGATTTTGAAATTTTTAGCTTATAATTGCGCAGCGAATATTTCTATTTTTTCTGGTTTACAAAATCATTTCTCGCCAAAGTAATTTGCGTATTTTTTCATGGGTCTGTACGCGAGATCTAGGCGCGTATGAGCGGAAAAATTCTCGAGCTAAGGCTTTTGGACGGAGGGGTGACAGTAGGATGGAAATATGATCGCAAAATTTTTTCCTCCCAACTTTCCTGCTTGTTGAGTTGAAAGCGGGTGACAAAGGTCACTTGCTTCCAAACAAACACAGACGACCTCTCAACAATATGCGTTCTTGCTCACTGCAGCGCTATGGCGCTGCACAGCAAGACGCATAAAAATGAGTACTTTGAAACTCTTCTGTAAGAACTAGACTGTCAGCCAACACCAAAACCACCAGAGAACAAATATGAGGATTAATTGTTAATGATGCCTTGCGCTGCTGCAATAGGCCGGTCTTAGTTAAGCCAGACCCTACGATCTTGGATTGTATGCCTTCAGTGAATAGCCGCCGCTGTTCAACAAATATGTTTTTTCTCTTTGGGAGCCGCCCGAGTTGTTCTTAACCTTTCCACGAGTACCATTCATTACTATCCGACACTCATCGGTTGTCAGCAAGACGAGCAACGTGAGTTGCCCACCGTATTTTTCTTCCCCATGTGGACCCATTGATATTTTACATGTTACTCATCTAACGGAGAATTTAAACGTTAAGAGCTAATATGGTAGTGAAAAAATAGGAAGTCATCAATTTTGAAAAATACTGATTTTTTCAGTCCACTTTTAAATCGATTTAAACATAAATTTTGTGAAACAGTGACGCGGCGTCGTTAACTTGAAAACAACTTTTTTCGATTTCGAAAATAAATGAAATATGTCGAATTTTGGCGATAAAATGATTCCAAGCCACTCCCAGCTCTTTCCACTAGTAATATGTGCATATATTATATATATAAATAAGAATATGACGAAGAAGGTACTACTGGCAGCCAGTTCGTTAGCCTTGGTGAAAATGCTGCTATTGGACTCGCGATCAAATTCCCTTGTCCATTCCCTCGCTATCGGAAATGCATGGGCGGTGCTGAGTTTTTTGCTTCCTGTAGCTATCAATAAATAAGTTGCTTCGAAACATTCATGAGGAGAAGGACAGCGAATTTGAAATTTGAATACACTTAAATCCAATTAAAGCGAGGGCGGTCAGCCGTGCATTCATCGGCTCTCCCATTCTTTTAAATTGAGCTAAGCGAGGCATTAGGGCAATTGCGAAAAAAGTGCAGGGGGCGCACGTGCTGGTAAGTCTCTTGAGAAATTGGTGTTTTTACGAAAAAGGGAAAAATGAAAACAAATTGCTAAGCTTTTGCAATTGACTCGAAAATGTAGTAGCACCACTGCTGGAAATTGGATCCTGAAATTTCGGGTAGTGTTTTGTTTAAAGTGGTTTATGCAAAAATCACTGCACCAAGTTGCTTGTAATTATATCAACTGTATTTCATTTTTTTTTTTATGGCAGATTTTGTTATTTTCGTGATAAGCTGCACTTAAGGGGGTTTATTACTTATCGCAAGTAATAGACTGATGCAGTATAAAATTATGAGATGAAATGGGATAATAAGGTACAGGTCACTGTGGAAGACTTACTGATTCGGCCTCAAGGCTAAGTGCCTGACGCGGAAGTGCTTTGTGGATCTTAGCTGGACGGTGCAGTACTCGGCTTTAATGATTCAGGAAGCTATATGCAGTGGTCAAGAAACAGTAAGTTCAGAACTGCCGCGAATCTATGCAAATATCTTTCTCAATACAGGGCATGACGACAAAGCAAAATTTGTATATTACAGATGAGCTGAGCAAGAGTGATTGACTAGGAATAATGGCAAAAGCCCCGACTGACCAAGCTGTTTGTTCCTTTTACTGTGCTCCCCAATGGACACGTCGTTCATCCCTTCACACGGCCGAGTGATTTACCGGTACATGTTAACAATGCCCTCGACGAGGCATTTAACGGAGACGTCTCAAAAACAACAAAATCTGTTTGCAAATGGAAGAACGGAGAGAAGGGGACCTGCCTTATTTTAATTTGTATTCCCTACAGCAATTGAATATAGTTATATTTAAATCATTCAGCGCTTCTAAAATGTAATGCCCCTTCAGTCGCAAAATGGTCTACAGTAGTACGATAACCATGAATTATTTCGAAAGAAACGATCAACGACGGGCTTGGTTCTTGCAATTTTTAGAAAAAGGACACTGAGAAATGCATCTTTATGCATTAATGCACTTCTCTGTGCTTTTTTTGTTCCTTAGCGAGAGACAAAAGCGAAAGTGCAGAAAGGGAAAAAGTTTCAGCTTTCGCTAAATGAACACATTAATAATAAAAAGCTACAAATGCGCTTTGTAAAAATTGAAACACTACAATATTGATAATATTTTTTGTTCATCAATTTTACCATCTTTTTTTTAGGAAAAGAAGGGATCTCCACTCCTCTTGTCTACTCTGCCAAAC